GGGGTGGAGAAGTGGCACTACTGATGAAAAACCGATGGAATTTTGATGAGCTGGAGAGAGGAGAAAGTGGAGAAGCAAGTGATTACAAAGTGGGAACGCTTCAGTCTGGAGGTCCCAAGGTGGTAATTGCAGTGATGTATAACCCACCACAGAACAGCAGGAGACCCAGGCAAGAATATGATGAGAGCAATAGAGTGATGGTTGACACACTGGCTGTAGTGGCCAGAAGGGCTCACGTGTGCAGGGCAAAGCTACTGATCATGGGTGACTTTAACCACAAGGAAATCGATTGGGAGAACTTGGAGCCACACGGGGGCCAAGATACATGGAGGGCTAAGATGATGGAGGTGGTACTGGAAAACTTCATGTACCAACACGTAGGGGACACTACAAGAGAGAGAGGAGAGGATGAACCAGCAAGACTGGACCTATTATTCACCTTGAGTAGTGCAGATATTGAGGACATGACATACTAAAGACCCCTTGGGGCCAGCAATCATGTGCTTTTAAGTTTCGAATACACAGTAGAGCTACAAGTGGAGGGGGAAGCAGGAAGGCCCGGGCGAATGAAGCCAAACTACAAAAAAGGGGACTACACGGGAATGAGGAACTTCCTGAATGGGGTTCAGTGGGACAGAGAACTGGCAGGGAAGTCAGTAAATGAGATAATGGAATATGTAACAACAATATGCAAGGAAGCTGAGGAGAGGTTTGTACCCAAGGGTAACAGGAATAATGAAAAAGTCAGGATGAGCCCATGGTTCACCCAAAGGTGCAGGGAGGCAAAAACCAAGTGTGCTAGGGAATGGAAGAAGTATCGAAGGCAAAGGACCCAGGAGAATAAGGAGAGCAGTTGTACAGCCAGAAATAAATATGCGCAGATAAGAAGGGAGGCCCAACGACAATATGAAAACGACATAGCAGCGAAAGCCAAATGTGACCCAAAGCTGTTATACAGCCACATCAGGAGGAAAACGACAGTCAAGGACCAGGTAATCAGGCTAAGGAAGGAAGGAGGAGAGACAACAAGAAACGACTGTGAAGTATGTGAGGAACTCAACATGAGATTTAAAGAAGTGTTCACAGAGGAGACAGAAGGGGCTCCAGAAAAACGGAGAGGTGGGGTACACCACCAAGTGCTGGACACAGTACACACAACCGAGGAAGAAGTGAAGAGGCTTCTGAGTGAGCTAGATACCTCAAAGGCAATGGGGCCAGATAACATCTCTCCATGGGTCCTGAGAGAGGGAGCAGAGGTGCTATGTGTACCCCTAACAACAATATTCAATATATCTATCAAAACAGGGAGATTGCCCGAGGCATGGAAGACAGCAAATGTAGTCCCAATTTTTAAAAAAAGGAGACAGACATGAAGCTCTAAACTACAGACCAGTGTCACTGACATGTATAGTATACAAAGTCATGGAGAAGATTATCAGGAGAAGAGTGGTGGAACACCTAGAAAGGAATGATCTCATTAACAGCAGCCAACATGGTTTCAGGGAGGGTAAATCCTGCGTCACAAACCTACTGGAGTTCTATGACAGGGTGACAGCAGTAAGACAAGAGAGAGAGAGAGGGGTGGGTAGACTGCATTTTCGTGGACTGTAAGAAGGCGTTTGACACAGTTCCACACAAGAGATTAGTGCAAATACTTGAGGACCAGGCAGGGATAACAGGGAAGGCACTACAATGAATGAGGGAATACTTGTCAGGAAGACAGCACCGAGTCATGGTACGTGGCTAGGTGTCAGAGTGGGCGTCTGTGACCATCGGGGTCCCACAGGGGTCAGTCCTAGGACCAGTGCTGTTTCTCGTATTTGTGAACGACATGACGGAAGGAATAGACTCTGAAGTGTCCCTGTTTGCAAATGACGTGAAGTTGATGAGAAGAATTCACTCGGTCGAAGACCAGGCAGAACTACAAAGGGATCTGGACAGGCTGCAGACCTGGTCCAGCAATTGGCTCCTGGAGTTCAACCCCACCAAGTGCAAAGTCATGAAGATTGGGGAAGGGCAAAGAAGACCGCAGACGGAGTACAGTCTAAGGGGCTAGAGACTACAAACCTCACTCAAGGAAAAAGATCTTGGGGTGAGTATAACACTAGGCACATCTCCTGAGGCGCACATCAACCAAATAACTGCTGCAGCATATGGGCGCCTAGCAAACCTCAGAACAGCATTCCGACATCTTAATAAGGAATCGTTCAGGACCCTGTACACCGTGCACGTTAGGCCCATATCGGTGTATGCGGCACCAGTTTGGAACCCACACCTAGCCAAGCACGTAAAGAAACAAGAGAAAGTGCAAAGGTTTGCAACAAGACTAGTCCCAGAGCTAAGGGGTATGTCCTACGAGGAGAGGTTAAGAGAAATCGATCTGACGACACTGGAGGACAGGAGAGATGGGGGGACATGATAACGACATACAAAATGCTGAGAGGAATTGACAAGGCGGACATAGACAGGTTGTTCCAGAGATGGGACACAGCAACAAGGGGACACAGTTGGAAGTTGAAGGCACAGATGAATCACAGGGATGTTAGGAAGTATTTCTTCAGGCACAGAGTTGTCAGGAAGTGGAATAGTTTGGGAAGGCGATGTAATGGAGGCAGGAACCATACATAGCTTTAAGCAGAGGTATGATAAAGCTCACGGTTCAGGGAGAGTGACCTAGTAGCGACCAGTGAAGAGGTGGGGCCAGGAGCTAGGACTCGACCCCTGCAACCTCTACACCTCTACTAGGTGAGGTGAGTACACACACACACACACACACACACACACACACACACACACACACACACACACACACACACACACACACACACACGCACGCACGCACACACACACGCACGCGCGCGCGCACTTATTGCTTAGCGAAACTCTTAAAAGTCTGACGGAGTGTAACACTTTGAATAGGTGTATTACTCAGCAAAACTGACCAATCATACTGCTCTGTGGGCCACCTGTAATTACTTATCTGTACGTTTCTGAATGTGTGTATGTGTTGTAAAGTAAGTTTTAAATGCTCCTGCTTAAGGTGGTTGCTCGGGACCTGGTGCTTCTGGACAAGACCAGCCAAAGATCAAGGTTGCGGCTGGTTAAGAGTTAAACATTTACCATGGAGATGTCGCCGTTGTGAGAAGGACGTGGTTCTCGGGTTACACAGTAGTTCATCACGTGCTGAGGCAAGGAACTACAGAGTACATAACAAGACATAAAGCCCCTGAGTGGGGTTACACAGTAGTTCACTTTCGTGTAATTCCTCAGTTTTAATGTTGAGGCTTGCATAATACTTAAAATTTAATTCTACATTTAACTGGAAGCCTAAATATCGATCTTGTCAAAAGCGTGTCCTAAAGAAGATCCCAGGGTTCCCCCCATCTCCCACGTCCCGGTTCCAGATCTGGCACCTGATCGACCCCGTGCTAGCCGCACGGAGTCTAACATAAGAACACAGCCCGGCTGATTAAGAATTGACTTATGGAACTTGCCAAGTTCTCCACTGAAAACAACTATGATTTTGTTCGTTGCTGGTAATTCCCCTTGTGTGTGAAAGATGTTGAAAAAGTCTTGGTTCCTTTATATTTATTATTTCTTAATGGGAAGACAAACTTTCATATCTTATTATGCTCGTCATGAGAGCCTGACTCACCTCCCAGCAGCAACATGTCTTTCAATGAGTAAGTCTTACTGCCAGGGGTAATATGTCTTACTGTGAGCTGCTGAGCAAGGTTTACCGCCAGGAGAACATGTCTTTACTCTGAATCATAAGGCAATATATGGTTTTCGTTATATCCGCCTTGAACCCTTATATTTACCTTGAATGATGTGGGGATCATAGCCTCTCCTAGGTGACGCCCAGCAAGAACGCATCGTGAATTTTCTTGAAGGAAGTCTAGTGGTAATTTCGCTGCTATTTCACTGGAGGCAACTGAAAAGCCTTATGTCTTTTGTGAATTTCCTCTTAGAGAAGTTACTGTGTCCAGACTTTTCACTGGGTCAGTCTGCTCCGTCTACGAGAACCCGCTCTCAAGAAATTATTAGTGTACAGATATGGAACAACTCCTATAGCATAAGAAAATAATCAACAATATGTGTCCAGAACAGACAACTGAAACTGTACATACGAAGACATGGAAATACTGCAGGAGGAAGCGAGAAGTGTGAGATAATACATGAGGCAGATAATACGAAAGAGGAGGGGGATAGGAAGGATAATACAAGATGGGGGAGGGCCATAATACAAGTGGGGAGAAGAATGTAATAGAACAAGGGAGGGGAGGGAAGCGAATAACACAGCAGGGATGAAAGGTAGCAGGAACACGGATCATCCAAGAGACAGTGATCCTAGTAGCGAAAAGCGGAGGCGGGACTAGTAGCTGAGATTCGATCTCTACAACAACATATAGGAGCGTACATGGAGGTGAGTACATGTCAGTTGTGCCGGTAGTAACAGCCTGGTTGATCACGCCCTGGTCCACCGCGAGGCCTGGTCATGGACCGGGCCGCGGGGGCGTTGACCCCTGGAACACCCTCAAGGCATGGCCAGCCACCACATTTCATTAACCTTCAAACAATAAAACAACTGCACTAACAAGCGCACAAGAACCAATAAGTGCTATCACACCAAGTTCAATGCCCTGTGTAAAAAAAAAAAAAAAAAAAAAAAAAAACATGAAATGATTAACATTAAAAGATTCCGCTAAAAAATTCCCCGAGGTCTCTACAGGTGCCTCGGTCATTATAAAAATTACATAGCATACAAGAAGTGTCGTTTACATAGCCTAGAATACAAGTCCTTCACCTGGTCTAGTATACAAGTATGGTATACCTGATCTAGTGGAGATTAAATGTTGTTTACCTGGTCTAGTATAGTTGTATGTTTGACCTGGTCTAGTATAGATGTATGTTTGGCCTGGTCAAGTATAGATGTATGTTTGGCCTGGTCAAGTATACATGTTTGACCTGGTCTAGTACAGAGGTAAAGCAAGGTTTACCTGGTCATGTTGTGACCTGGGTGGCTTGCCGAGCACCAGCAGGTCCCGCAGCAGTGAGGGAGAGGGTTTGACGTCCTGGATCTCTCCTGCTGAAGGTGTGACGGAGCGGAAGGCGCTGCCCTCGGAGGGGACGACACAGCTACTGTCGCTGTCGGAGTAGTGGTGGGTGTCGCTGAAAGCGTCGAAGGTGCGGCACCCGTCGTCGGGTGTGAGAGGTGGTGCCGCCTGCGGCCCCAGGCACTCTGACCCTACACTGCTGACACAGGGCGACGACGCCGGTGTATATCGCACTAGGGTGGAGATGGAGGGCAGCGGGGTGGTGGAGGGTGGTAAAGGGGAAGATAACCCTAAGGGTGACGATAACCCCAGGGGTGACGATAATACTCCTTGCGGGGCAGCACGGACGATTGAGGGAAACTGGGGCGAGACGTGGGGGACAAGTTGCCCTGTGGGTGTGCCGCTGTGGCTCTGACTGCCTGGTCGTACTGTGGTTAGTTCACCCGTCTCAGAGTCGCGGATGTGGGGCGGCTTCAAGCCCAGGAAGTCTTTGAGAAATGCCCAGTCGTCGTTGACCTCGTCAGTGAGGCTGAGCATGCCCCTGAAGTGTGCCGCCACCACATCCAGCTCGCCCTCTTTGATCCACCCACTGCTTCCCACGACCACTTCCCCTCCTCCTCCTCCACCCGCGGCCCCCGCGCCTCCCCTCTCCTTCTCCCCTCCACCACCGGGGCTGGTGGTGGCCTCTCCACCTGCACCCACCAGTTGATGAGGGTCCTCCACCCCTTGCTCCACTGTTGCGCCAGTCAGTCCTGGCCCCCACCAACACTACACCCGCTGAAGAACCTCGCTTACTCCCTCCCTCAATACTCTCCAACACTAATGTTCCTCCGGTAACTTGCGACCCCTCACCAAGACTCCACTAAGGCACCACGTACACTCCAACGTAACACCAACACAAGATTGTCACTTGCTCTCTGGCACTGATCACTCACTGGTCGCGGATATGTACTTTTCAGTTCACTACAGAATAAGAAAACGGTTTGTCTGCGTGGACATCCACACACTTGTGTTGATGACACTTACACTGCCTTAACACTCATATTAGTTCGTCTGCAAATTAAGTGTTACTGTCATATGAGAGACAGACAAGAGACAAATCTCAAATGTATACAGAGACTATTATCCGCCTTTCGTGTCCACACACCAGCCATTCCCATCACCTCTAATTTTACACCCAAGATATCAAAATATGGCAGGCTAAGCCCATCCCTTACACACACACACACTAACCATTTCTGGTGACATCTATCCTGCCCATTTCTACTAAATCTCGCCGTTGATCACCATTATAATACAAACATACGCACATAAACACAGCAACCACATATGGGTGAGTACGCACACACACACACACACACACACACTGAACCCCTGCAACCACAAATAGGTAAGTACATAGGCCAAGTGCTTATCGACAAGTGCCTTTGACAACTAATAACAAGCGGACGAACACACACACATGCCAAGTGTCTATCGACATGTGCCTTAGAGAGCTAGTAACGAACGAGCACACACACACACACACATATACACATGTAACCTTTAACACTGTCACAGATTAAGCTTAAGTGTTCATTCAGTATCTCCTTTGCTTAGTTTACCAACAATACCTTCACCTCATAGACAACACTAACAAGGCCCCCTGATACGTAAGCTAGGTGGTGGAATGCATTACTGAACACTGACGGAATTTCTGCTGTTACAAGAATATTAATTAACAAGAGTGGTTGAGTGTGAACATACCGATGACACTTGGTCACACTACAAATGAATCAATATGAAGTGCGACCGTTAACGCCCACGTCTGCCTTCACCTCCCTGTCAGTATACACCGAGAAGTGTAGGCAAGTAACACACAATGTGATAATGTCTTGTTTACTGAAATTGGATGTATCCCTAGTACGGGTACACCAGTGGTGCCCCTGCTGAATGGACAACCACTTGACTAAGACCCGCTTCAGTTTACTAACAGAAACCAATTACCACATCCCATCCCTTCACTGAGTGTGAATACGTGAGCCCTCCGGGGTCTTCCTTCACTGAGTGTGAGTGTTTAGATATTCCAGGTTCTTCCTTCACTCAGGATGAGAGTGTGGTGCTGCCTGGTGGTAGTAACGCGGCTCAAGTGAGGTTGAACACATGTGTGGCGCCATGTATGGCAAGTGGAATGGTTGTCAACTGCAAGAGGTTTTGTTGTACTTGCAGGCGAGTCCATTAACACTACCAGCAACAGCAGCACCACCATCAGGAGGACACCGTGGAGACGACTCCTGCTTGAGGTCACAGGTGTACCACCATCAGCGGTGGTGTCCACGAACATCACCAGGGTACTGCGCTCCTCTATACCTTATCCACCTTATCTTTACTATCTTCTCGAGGGAACGTCCCCTTCCCCCTCACCCAATCTATGTTGACGTGACCACAACCCGCAGAAACGTTGGAGGAAGGAGGCTGGGACGAGCGATGCTAGCACCTCTGACAGGACACCAGAAAATACCTCTGCTACCCCCATCTCAACACAACCTACCACACTGCTACAACTTCATAATCAACATAGACTCTGGTAGTACTCTGGTAGTAGTGTGTGGTGGAGGTACACATACTAGCCATGTACATTCCTTATACTAGCAATATCAGAACACCTCATAACCACCAACCACACTGACCACATCACACGCACCACCACCACACTAACCACATCACACCCACCACAGTACTGACCACATCACACGCACCACCACCACACTGACCACATCACACGCACCACCACCACACTGACCACATCATAACGAACTTATTGTCCCATCGTATTCCACTTGAACCTGGTACTAGACCTATCTATATACCTGCATACAGAATGCCTCATTCACAAGTTGCTGTCGCAGAAGAATTGATCAATCAAATGCTTGATGATGGAGTTACTGCACCTAGCAATTCACCTTGGAATGCGCCCTTGATCCTAGTACCTAAGAAGGATGGTACTTGGCGCCCAGTGATTGACTTTAGGAAGTTAAATGCGAAAACTATCCCAGATCGCTTCCCACTTCCTGTACTGGGTGATCTTTTACGTAACATCGGAGATAACAAAGTCTTTTCAACCCTGGATTTGTTACAAGGGTTTTGGCAAGTCCCTCTTCACGAGGACAGCCAAGAGCTAACTGCATTCTCCACTCCTACAGGTCATTATCACTTCCTCCGTATGGCGTTTGGATTATGATCCTCCCCTATCACGTTCTCAAGGCTCATGACTAATATCTTTAGAGGTCTCATAGGTAATGCACTTATGGTGTACTTAGATGATGTAATCGTCATGTCTAAAGACGTGGATACACACTTGAAAAGACTTGATGTAGTACTTGGTAAGCTTGAAGAAGCCAATTTAAAGATCAAACTGTCTAAATGTCAATTTTTCAGATCAGAAATTAAGTTTCTTGGTCACGTAGTCACTCCTAGAGGGGTTACGACTGACCAAAGTAAAGTAACTGCAGTACTAAATTTTCCAACTCCCAAAACTGCTGATGCTGTAAGATCCTTTGTGGGCTTAGCAGGTTTTTATAGATCTTTCATTGCCAATTTTTCTTCCATAGCTGCTCCTCTAACTGAGTTGCTTAAGAAAGATGCTCCTTTTGTTTGGACCTTCCGTCAAGAAAGAGCATTCCAAACTCTAAAAGAAAAACTAACATCTGCTCCAATTTTGAAATTTCCAGATTTTTCTAAGCCCTTCTATCTGACTACTGATGCTAGTTCTATTGGTATAGGTGTCGTACTAGCTCAGAAGACCGATGGCAAGTACAACGCAGTTACATTTGCTAGCCGAGTCCTTACGAAGGCTGAACGTAATTATACAGTAACTGAGCAAGAAGCTTTAGCAATAGTATGGTCTTTAAAGCACTTCCAAGACATTATTTATCAGTACTCTGTTCATGTCTTGACAGACCATGCTCCACTGATACCTTTATTCCAGAACAAACAACCTACTGGAAGGTTAGCCAGATGGACCTTGACTATCCAAGAGTTCAATCCCACCTTTGAACACTTACCTGGCAAGCCAAATGTATTCGCAGATGCCTTATCGCGACATGTTGGTATAGTAACTGAAGACCCTCCATTTAGTGCTGAGGATGTAAAGAATGCTCAACGAGCAGATCCCATGTGGTCTGGTGTGATTCGATTCCTGCTCCAGGAAGATCTTATTCTGACTGTGAAGCCACCAGCACCCATCAGTGACTTTGTCATGAACCAAGAATTACTGTATCGAACAGCCGAGTTGGGTACTCCTAGAAGAAGAGTATACCAGTTAGTAATTCCACAGTCACTAGTGAATGTAGCCTTACAGCTAGTTCACGATGTACCAGGTGTTGCGCACCCTGGTATGGATCGTTCAGTAAAACAAGCCAGATTGAAATACTTTTGGCCTCGTATGGCAAATGTAGTGTCTGCATGCAACATAAAGGTAATGCTAATGGCCCTAATCCAATCCAAGTGTATCCAACTACTAGCGAACCATGGGAAAGAGTTGCGCTAGATTTGTTAACTAATTTCCAGTGTTCCCTCCAAGGCAACAAACATCTATGTGTTATGGTAGACCATTTCACCAGATATTGTGAGTTAGTTCCTGTTGCAGATAAGACTGCCGAGACAGTAGCTAAAGCGTTTAAAGAACGCATTATCTGCAGGCATACCACCCCTAAGTCCCTAGTAACAGATAATGGAGGTGAATTCTGTAATGAGATTCTTGAAAATTTGTGCACCTTGTACAAGATCTCTAAATCCACCATTGTTCCTCATCATCCTGCCAGCAATGGGTTAGCGGAACGTACCAATAAAAAAGTACTTGATGTCTTGAGAGCCACTATCAATCCCAACAGTGAAACTTGGGATGAAGTTATACCTGATGTGCAGTGTGCTATAAATTCTGTTTACAATGTTTCTATAGGTGACACTCCACATTATGCATTGTACGGTGTAGATAAACGTTTGCCTTATGAGTTGCTATATTCTAATCCGAAACCAAATTACAACCCTGATGATTTCATAGCAACTCGTACCAGCTTAGCTCAAAGTGTTTTTAGAAGAATCCGTGAAACACTTCATAAATCAACAGCAGAATTTACAAGAGTCGCAAACACTCGAGCAAAGCCATCCAAAATCAAAGTAGGTTCGAGAGTTATGCTGACTAACTTTAACAAAACGTCTGCAATGCCTAAGCTTGATCAAAAGTTTGTTGGTCCTTATCGAGTAGTTGAACATATCACTGGTAATAAGTATAAGGTTAGAGAAATTAGTACTGGTCAGTATAAAGAATCGCATTTAGATCATATGAAGTTAGTATGTGATGATAATGATGTTCCAACACAGACTAATGTGACAGAATCTGACAATCCTCCTGATCCTGTACTCTCTACCTCTGATACTCAGTCAGACGATCAACCTGAATGTCGTTATTCCCTACGTACACGACAGGTATTGAGAAATCCTCAAGTATCATTTGTAACTACCAATTCAGATTTGCCTCAAATACAGCATGAGTTAGCCAGTGCAACAGAGTTTGATCTTCCCAAAGATGACACCCATTCTGCATATATCAATCTCACCCTAGCAGAGTTGGGGTTAAATGTAAATAACCTGTATAGATGAATAATTACAGTATCAACTTATCAGTGTTCAAGAATTTTTTTTTGTGTTCATGTTCTCTCCGAATTCTGAGAATTAACAGTCCAGATTTGAGTGCACCGAATCTGCCTTTCTGTTAAACACTTCTTTCTTTGTATATATTCTTTCCTCAGAATTCGTAGATCACATGAATACAGATCGATCGATCAAATTTTTTTTTATCACTTCTATTGTGTAATCCCAACGTTGAGTTTCATTCAATGAGTTGTGCTATATTAATTGTTGTGTACTTTGACATTGTATAGAATCAGCCCAAGCCGTACACCTGCCGTCTCTAGTTTGTATTAGTTGTATGTCGGGATGACATACGTTAGCGTCGCCGAGCTCTCAGTAGTAGTACCAGTTCCTAGCAACCAGTTACCAGTAACCAGTGTACCAGTAGATGACTCACTACCAACCGTCTGTGTGAATCATTGACTGTATTCATATTGCTGCTGACCATAGCAGGATTTCAAACACCCTCAC